ATAATGTTATTAGGAAAGTTACCTATTTGAGGCACTTAAGTTTACTTGGATTAGGACTCTAATTGTTAGGAAAGTTTTTCACTATAAATAAGGACCTTAATTAAGCCCTTTCTTCCACTACTTTTTCTCAACCTTCAAGGGTTTGCCATTTGGGTGTCTGTCTCTAGGATTGCTCTCGCCAATTAGATATCGTAAGCTCTTTTGTCTCTTTTATTTGTCTTTGTTATTAATATTTTTTATCTAGATTTTTTTTTTCTTTTTAAATTAATAATTAGTTATTTTAGCTCTCATTCGCTGACTTGTTGAATACCTTTTTTTTTTAATTTATTTATTTCAATTTTTTAACAATCTTGATTTTTAATCCATTTGGGTGATAAGTTTTGTAGAAGTCATTGTTATCCTAATATTAAATAATAATTTTTATCTCTAATATATAATAAGATGAGTTTTATTTTATATAACATTAATGAACATACTATAGGTATTGCAAACTAGAAATCTTATGCTTACTTTGCGAGCTAATTCCTATTTTGTCACTTGGGAGTTTGTAACGTATTCTCTAAATATAAATTTTATTAGTTAAAATTAGCACAAAAATTGGTATGATGGAATTAGTGAAAATATAGAAAGGAATAATATATATAAATTCATATGATTGGTATGCTATAAGTTATAGGATTTGGATGGAACAAAATTATCATCTCATATTACTATTATGTTATAAGAAAATTAATTTTAATATATTAAGGTTATTTTATTGTTTAATTTAATATGAGTGTTTTTTATATCTATAAAAAATTATACAATAATTACAATATATTTTTTTAATGTTTGTATGCAATTATTTATAACTTAATCATATTTACGTATAAATATATAATATATATGAATAGATAAACATAAAACATATGCAAAAAGTTTTTTGTGGATAAAAAATATTTTTGTGGATAGAAAATATTTATAAAAAGATGTATAAAAATAATATGAATATTAAATTAAAAATATAGTTATTTTTAATTATTTATTTTAGTTAATTTTTAATAAAAAATTAATTGTAATATAATAAGGATTTATATTATTTATTGTATATTTATTACTATTAGTTGTAAGTTTTAAATTTTAAAAACTAAATTTTGAAAATATTGACATTTATATATCTATATGGAAGTTAAAAAATGACTCCATTCTCATGTTATTTTATCATATCTTTTTTTAAACATCATGACCCATTGGCATGTTATTTTATCCTATCTCATGTCTTTAAAACAAATATGACTATGTTGTACAAGCTTGCTTTAAAAATACTGGAATATTCATAGAATTAAATGATGTTTTTGGTTAATATGTTTCTTGTGATTTTATTTTCTGAAATATACAAAATAATTAAGAAATAAAAAGATAATAATAATAACAATATGAGAGATATAACAAATAATTGAAGTATGGAAAAAATAAATTATAATGATTTACCATGATGTTTTAAAATATGATATTAAGTAAAATAAATAATAATGACTTATAATAAATTTGTATGGATATGAGAACCCTATTATAAAAATAATATAAGTATAAATAAATGCATTTTACATATATAAATAGGTTTATTTAAATTACTTTCCATACAAACATATATTGAAATTACATATATAAATAGGTTTATTTAAATTACTTTCTATACAAACATATATTGAAACATTATGATTTTTTCTAAATTTCAATTATATGAAAACAAATTAATTATTAAAAAATATATTAAAACATTATGATTTTTTTCTTAATTTCAATTATACGAAAACAAATTAATTATTAAAAAATTTAAAAAAGGGTCATGGTTTTTATTGGGCTCAGGATTATATATCACTTTATATATCACTTATATCACTAACCTCTGCTTTTTTTATTTTTTAAAAAATTTTCAAAGTATATATAATAACTATTTTATTCAATTTATAACCTTTAATTTATCTTTAATTTATATTCAAGTTCAAGAAATATTTTTTATTTATTTTTTTCATAATAACTCTGAAGAACTGTAATACACAAATTATATATAATGCTTCCATTCCCGATAATAATTCGATCCAACAATAATTATAATAGTACTAGTAAAATGATTTTAGAATATTCATAAGAACTTTGATTAATTTATAAACATTCTAAAAGTTTCATAATAAATTCAAATAATATTTGCTCATTCTACAAATATGTAATAGTTTTTGTGTGTAATTTAATTTATCAAACATTCTAAAAGTTTCGTAATAAAATCAAATAATAGTTTGCTTATTTAACAAATATGTAATATTTTTTTTTTATGTGCATAAATATATAATCGAGTATAATATACGAATAAGTTTAATATATTACGATTTCGTTAC